AAGGGATGCTTTGTATTCTTTGTGCTTGGGGGGGGCAACAGTGGGAGGGCTTCTAGTGTCCTGGCCCCACTGATGGACCTCCTGATGGCTCCTGGTATTTTTGGCCACTGTGTGACACAGAGTGTTGGACTAGACGGGCCATTGGCCTGATCAAACATTGGCTTCTCTTAATGTTCTTATTTCTGGGGCAAGGGATGCTCTGTATTCTTGGTGCTTGGGGGGGGCAACAGTGGGAGGGGTTCCAGGGTCCTGGTCCCACTGGTGGACCTCCTGATGGCACCTGGTATTTTTGGCCACTGTGTCAGTGTTGGACTGGATGGGCCATTGGCCTGATCCAGCACTGGCTTCTCTTATGTTCTTAACCTCCTTGGCACCCAGAAAGACCAGGTGCAGAACTGCACCTAGGATTTCCCTGTAAGCCACTGATTGAGAACCCAGAAGAACTACGAGGACAGGCTCGTCTTGCTTCCATTCCCCACACTTGCAAATAATTCAATGACCAACCCCTATTCTGGAAAAGACAATAATGCTAGGAAAAGAGAAAGACCCAACGTGAGAGGGATTGACTCAATCAAGGAAGCCAGGGCCCCTCGGTTTGTAAGACCTGAGCGAGGCCATTAAAGATGTTCCAGAAATCATTCATTCATAAGATCACCATAAGAAGAAGAGCCCCACTGGATCAGACCAATAGTCCATCTGGTCCAGCCTCCTGTCTCACACAGTGCCCAACCAGTTCCTCTGGAGGGCCAACAACAGGGCACAGAGGCCGATGCTTTCATTAGAACGTAACAAGAGCCCTGCTGGCTCAGACTAGTGGTCCATCCAGTCCAGCCTCCTGTCTCACACAGTTGCCAGCCAGTTCCTCTGGAGGGCCAACAACAGGGCATAGAGCCCAAGGCCTTCCCCTGATGTTGCCTCCTGGCTCTGGGATTCAGAGGCTTAGTGCCTCTGAATGTGGAGGTTCCCCACAGCCACTATGGCTAGCAACCATTGACAGAATTATCCTCCATGAATCTATCTAATCCCCTTTCAAAGCTGTTTATTCCTGTAGGTATCCCTACATCCTCTGGCAGAAGCAACTTGATGGCACGTCACACACATGCATTCTGAGGCCAAGGAACCTGACCGGCCCAGAGGCGGCTGGCGGCTGAGCAAGGGCACCTTCTCTGCATTCCATTCAAGCAGTGCTCCCCAATCTGTGCCAATGCGATGCCCTAACACTCAAGAGAGGCGTGCCTTCTCCCTTGTGATTCAGTTCCTGTATACTGTCGGCAGCCCCACAGCGAACAACCTTTTTCTCGGGGGGCCTGCCATCCGGAGAAATAAAGCGGGCCCCATGGGCCCCGCGGTAGCTACGGGCTTGACTGTCGGGCAATTTCCTGTCCTCAAGGCTACAACTGGGACACGTGCGCTTTGAACGGTTAAGACGACAAGCGTCTTGTGGCCAGAAATATATGCACCCAAGAAGGGTGGCACAAAGTATCTGCTCCTATATAGTGGATTCAAGGAACAGGATAAGGACACATTCCTGACTCCAAGGGCGAGCACGAGCTAAGGCACTGTCTGAGGGACACATTGGCTAAACTGGATAAAATCGAACTGGTTTCAAGTTTGTAACACCAATATCTCCTTCCAAGACTGTCCAGCAGCACCTCGTCTTGTCTGAGATAGTAAATCAAAAAGAAAGGTGCGCCAGAGGAACCTGGGCTTGAAGTCCTCGGGCTTTTCCTTTCAGGCTGATGGGGCTACCAGGCATTCACAGAACAGCTGAAAGGTTCGCGTGGCGACCGTGTGCCTTCTCAGGACCTAAAGTACACTTCAGACACACACAACCCTTTTGCAAATTTAGCTGCCGGAACGGTTTTATCAAGCAGACGGGGTGAGAAGGAGAACTTTACGCTCCTCCTTCCGTGCCGATTTCTCACTAGGAAAAACAAAACCCTGTTAAGTCAGAGGTCCCCAACCTTTCTGAGCCTGTGGGTACCTTTGGAATTCTGACATAGTGTGGTGAGCACAGCCACAAAAACAGCTGCCACAAAAAGCGGAGCCAGCCGCAAAAAACAAACAAACGGCTGCCGTGGCTTACCTTCAGTCACACAAGCAAAGGTCATTGGTGCTGTGGTGGCAGCTGCTGCCAAAGCAACGTTTTAAAATCCGCACAGCTAATCAAACCTCGAATGGCTAATTAGAACTCTACCATGTTGGGGGTGCCGCCTCTAACTTTTTCCCAAGCAAGGATAAAAACAGCTCAAGGTGGCTTTTCCCAGCAAGAAAATGGAAGAGGAGGAAAGGGAGAAATGCCCTGCCCCTGCTCTCCACACCAAGCTCCTCTCCTTCATAAAGCAGTCCTGGAGGCTGCACTTACGAAAGAGAGACAAAGTCATTGGAAAAGACACACAGTGTAGTTCAGCCCTCAGTCACAGGAGATCCTGGGATGTACCTACAGGCTTGTCTTGTTCTGACGTTTACTCCCAGTTCTACACCACTGAACGAAGCAACTTGTGAATCAGCTACCATGCCCATGCACACTCTCCTCACGAGCTTGCGGTTATTCCAGCAGTCTGCTCCCCAGGGCAGCCTCACCCATGAGACGGTGTGAGGGCAACTCTCGCCGGGCCACAAAAGCCGACTTTGTACAGGCTTGACTGGAAGCCCGTTTAAACAAAAGCTCTTATTTTAGTTGGGCCCTTTGGCAGACGCCATCTACATGCATCCAGGCGTCTCTGCAGCCAGGCAACGTGATTTTGAAGAAAAGTTGTTGCCGTTTACGAAAGCTGACTGCAGGGCCATGCACGCAGAAGACGGTCGGGGCTGTCTATAGCCAAGCTGGATTCTGGAGTCCTAGGGCAGCACGCCAGAAATCAACTGGCAGACAAGCTCATGGATTTAGTGCACAACCGTCCACAGCCTGCCACAAGGAGCCATTGTTTCGAAAGATCGATGCAGGCCCTCGCTGCCAACCCCGACAAGACAGGCTTGACAAGCAGCTTCAGCCGGCATCTATCACCCCGAACAAGGCATGGCTATTGTTGCCACTGGAAGTTTATCTTAGAGGGGGAAGAAACGGGCTTTGAGCTTTCAAGTGGGCTCTGTGATCAAGGGCTTCAGAGCAACGCCATCCCTTAGCTGCCATGGTTTCCACACCCAGGCCAACAACCCTGCCATGCCTCTGGAACAGGTGTCCCCAACACGGTGCCCCGTGGGTGCCATGGTGCCCACTGACACCTCTCCTGGTGCTCGCCAGGTGTTTTTGGGAAATTGGGGTGGGATCATGCCTAGTCGGGCTTCTGACTGGCTGTGCAGATTCTAAAAAAAACAGTGTTTTGACGGCAGCTGCCACCACCGTGCTGTTGTTCTTCTCCCTCCTCTGTCCCAGTGTACTGTTAAAATTACTCTCTTGTCCCGTGCACCTGGGCTTCTTCTGCTCTGTGAGAGCAAGTCTGGTGTCGTGGTTAAGAGCGGCAGGACTCTCACCCGGGAGAACTGGGTTTGCTCTCCCCACTCCTCCACATGAAGCCAGCTGGCTGACCTTGGGTTCTCTCAGAGCTGCTCCCCCGAGAGCTGTTCTCTCAGAGCTCTCCCAGCCCCACCTACCTCACAGGGTGTCTGTTGTGGGGAGAGGAAGGGAAAGGAGATTGTAAGCTGCTCTGAGACTTCAAGAGAAGGGCGGGGTGTAAAATCCAATCACTGCTTCTACATAAAATTTCCGGAAATTTTACATCTCTAGCCAACCCTTCCTTCGCTTCTGAGATCTGACGAGATCGGGCTAGCCTGGGCCACCCAGGTCTGGGCGTAAACATTTCAATACATTAAAAAATGAATAAACTGGAGTGGTCAGACAGGACTAGGGTCCGCCCCGCACGGTTTCGGAACGAGACCCAGATTTCCAAATAAGATCAAGCTCAGGGAGTACAGCCCATGCTTTCTTTACAGTCAATAAGTGTTGGGATTACTGCCAGGACTTCCCCATGAAAAACTCTTCATTAAAAAAAAAAAAGAAAGAAAGAGAGAGATTATGCTCAGAGAAGGTGTTTTTCATTTTCAAAGGTTGGGATCGTGCATCCCGGGGACGCCCACGCACCTCTTTGCAACGCATCCTGCGGCTGGACATCTTGAAATAGTACTCCGTCAGACCGTTGGGGCTCATCACGTTCCGGGAGCAGTTCTGCAGCAGAGCCAGAACAGATTTCTCCGATTCAAACACCAGGTAGACGTACCCTTGGGAGGAAAGAGGACCAGGAATTAACCGAGGGAAGCACCCGTGGGCTACGCAGATCTCTCCTCTGGGAAGGCAACCAGTGGCCAGGGTGGCCAAGTCCGCCCTGGCTGCTGGTAGGGGGGCAGGGGGTAGTGGCTGCCAGCTCCAGGTTGGTGAAACTCCTGGAGATTTGGGGGACGGCGACAGGGATACAATGGGGGTACAATGCCATACCATCCACCCTCCAAAGCATCCACTTTCTGCAGGGGAACTGATCTCTAGCCTGGAGAGGAGCTATAATCCAGGGGATCGCCAGGTCCCACCTGGAGGCTGGCATCCCTCCCTGTGGCATACAGTTAGGAACTGCTGTGCTGGATCGAGAAAAGAAAAAAAGGTCTCTCTAGTTTAGAAATGGCCAGTCAGTTAAATGGGATTACTCATAAACTGGCTTTAATAGCAATACCCTCACAGTGTCTAGTAACTGGGTTCTTGCTCTAGCAATGTCTGTCCTCTCCCCCATAACGTCTGGAGAGTTCAGGATTACTGGAGATTGCTTTCTTACGCTTTGTTCAAGAGCACTCAACATTAACTCCTTTGCAGTAAGCGAATGCCTCCAAACAGGGAAAGAAAAGCTAGTGTGTGCTCTTTTCACCGATGAAGACTCCTCTTCCAGGGCACAAAGTACTTTCCACCAATGTTCCCTTTTAAGCTGAGTTAGTGTGAGCTAGCTCAGTTTCTTAGCCTCCCGCTCACACATTTTTGTCTTCGCTCAGGAAGGATGGCCCCAGAGCAAACTGATTTATGCAGCAGCCAAATCGCTCACTCACAACTTTAATGCCCGTAGCTCACAAAGTAGAATTTTTGCTCTCAAGGTTCCACAGCTGAGAGAGAAAACTGCTTTCCACTGCACCAATTGATCCCCAATTTACCACTCACTCACTTCAATGCTGTCATCAGTGAAAAGATGGCAAACTAGGATACTAGAGAGAGCCAGGATGGTCTAGTGGTTAAAAGTGTCTGACTAGGAAGTTCAAAGCCCACTCTGCCCTGGAAGCTTGCTGGGTGACCTCTGGCCAGTCACACATTCTGCGCCTCACCTACCTCACAGGGTTGTTGTGAGGATGAAACAGAGGAGAGAACAATATAAGCTGCTCTGGGACCCCACTGGGGAGAAAGGCGGGATATAAATAAAGTAAATAAAAAGCTAGAATCAACCGAAGAAGTGTTATTTTAGTTGCAGCCAAGACAGATACCCCCCTGCTGCACTTTGGAGAGGTGTTTTGCCAGGGATAGATATTTCCATAAAGAAGTAAACGGTGCATGACAACCGCCATGTTAACCAAACCAGCTACCAGGGGCGCTTCCGGGAAACAAAGCAAGGGGAGGTACAAGGGAACGAGCTGCGCCAATGTGCAAGAGTACTGCTGCCCCAGGTCAACGTTAACTGAGCACCATTGAGCTCAGAGAGCACAGTCTGCTTCTTCAGAGATGAGGGAAATGGAAGGAGGGCTGGGGTAACTATTCCCATCTGCCCTTACCACGGAAGGGGGGTGAGCTAGTGGTGGGCGGAGAGCTACTTATCCACCTCTTTCCCCATAAGCCCTTGCTGCCTTTCTTGGTGGAGAACCATGCAAGCGAGGGGTGTGCCCCAAGGGATGTGCACGCACACCTGCACATAGGCAAGGTGGCACACAGTACTTACTTGAGTAATGAAGGATTATTTGGGTTTAGCGGAGTGCCCAAGGCACATAACACAGCAGAGCCAGTCTAGTTTGTGTGTGCGCTGACAAGAAACAAAGCTACACACAGCCTCTTTCTCTTTGCAAAAACTAATGTGAGTCCTTTATTGGAAGGAACTCCATTCTAGACAGGATAGGCCAGAGATGGGATTCTAATCTAGTCTAACTAGCTAGGATGGATAGAGATGCAGGAGGCATCTCCTGCCCTCATGATGCCAAGATGGAGAAGGCTAGCATAGTGTGGAGAGAAGGGGTCAGGATGGAAGAAAGGAAGATTCCCTGAGAGGAGCAATCTACACATCAATGGAATAGCATCAAAACAGTAGAAGGGAAGGATGACCAGGGTCCTGGCCTATCTATCTCTCTGGCATTCTATAGTCCCCCCCCTCTGAAGTCTGAGGCTAAGAGACAGGGCAAAGTCCTTCACTTCCAACAAATAAAAGGTGTACAAAGAGGGGTGGGGGGCTTGTTGTCACAGCAGCTGATCGTGTACATGCATGTACCAGCTTCAGCTCCACTGGAGAGGTTGTGGTTCACTGGTAGAACATCTGCTTTGTATGCAGAGGATCCCAGGTTCCATCTGTGGCATCTCCAGTTAAAAAGGATGAGGGACTAGATGACGTGAGGGACCTCCACTAGACCTCCTGACAACAGCTGGGTTTTGGCCACTGTGTTGGACTGGATAGGCCACGGGCTGATCCAACATGGCTTTTCTTATGTTCTTATAAAGGAGATCCTGGAGGGCTGCGGCCATCAGTCGGAATGCTGATTTTAACAGGCCAGTGGTCTGACTCCATGTAACACGGCTCCATGCATTCAAGGGACAGCAGCCCCCTCTTGAGTCCCAAAGGCACCCTCAGCATCCAATTTGACAAGGGTCTCCCCTCCACCACCCCAGTCCCCAGGTTCTGTTCCAAGATAAGGTTTGGAAGGGCCTTCTGCATTGGGGAAGCAAATCAGAAACTCAGGAGAGTTTTCCAAGACGCTTCACAGCAGAGCAAGAAAGAGACGAGGCTGCAATGCAGAGGAGGATAGGACAGGTGGGGCGGGGAGAAAGACGGAATTACACACGGCAACCACCCCTCCTGATCGGGGGAGAGGGGCAGCTGCACCAGCATTTGGCACCTAAACCACTTTTGTTCCACAGCTACAGTGGAAGTTGGACATACCACCAGTGATCCCTCTAAGTTGAGTTGATGTGAGATAGCTCATAGTTTTTTAGCCTCCGGCTCATACTTTTTTTTTGGTCTTCGCTCAGGAAGGATGGCTCCAGAGCAAACTGATTTATGCAGCAGCCAAATCGCTGGCTCACAACTTTAAGGCCAGCAGCTCACAAAAAAGAATTTTTGCTCACACGACTCCACAGCTTAGAGCGAGCATTGCATACCATGAGTTAAAAAGGGGGGGGGAGGATGGGAAGGGAGCCATTTCTGTGAACACAACATCAGTATGGGAGAACAGCTAGCGTGGAAACACCCAGGGACTCTTCAGATTATTTGTCCCCGTTACTCAGCAAAAGCCAGCTGTCCGCGAAATGGGACATCCAAAACCCCTTCGATGCAAAACAGTTTTCTGCAGGGTGCTTCTGAAAACCAGCTATTATTGTTACAGATGATGGGGAAGGGGGGGGGGGGGGACCAGAGTATCTTTCCACACTGCAGAATTCCCAGCACGTCCCCCATCCCCTCCCGGCCGCCTTGAACAGTCACCAGTGCAGTGGGTCCCCCCAAGCCAACGAGCTGGACCTGTACCACGACCACCACCTGCATCCCACGGTGCTCCAACCGGCCAGTCACCAGCATGCAGCTTTATTCCCACAGCCCTCTGTGCTCTACGAAGCATGGATATAAAGGGTTCCTACCATGTCTGTATTACCTTTAGGCATATTACCTTTGGGAGGGCAGCGGGGGTGCTTGCTATCCTTACCAGGCCACTCCACCCTCAGCGAGCCGAACACACGGAAAGTGCTGATCAGACCCCCTGCAAGAGAGAGAGGGGGGGGGGAGGGAGAGAGAACAGAACAAATTGTGGTTAGAGGCAACAGAGAATAATCCTCAATTTAATGCCCGGACTGGGGGTCAATTCAATGCACGGACTGGGAGGAGTATGCTTCAAGAAAGCCCCTGTCTACATCCTGTTACCTATCAGCAGGCCAAAGGCCATCTTTACTAGGGCTGCGGTCACACTGGTGGCTTGGTGTGGTATGGTGGCGCCTCCAAATTGTTCCGGGTCAAAGTGTAGCGGAGCATTTCATCCAGACCACACACACCGTGGCGGCTTAGGGGGTGCATCCACATTAGTGTTGTGCTTCAACCACGGGACGAGCTGTAAGGGTGGGTTTTATTTCAATGCAGTCAGATGAATGTGCATATGCACAGCAACTAAAAAATACAGTGGGGGGAATGGATCCGCAAGTTCAGACGTCCCTTCCGGGTTGCTTTCACTACGGGAGAGTTCCGACATCAGAGAACCCGGAGGGAACTGCAAACAATCTGTTCATGCTGGACTTTCCCCGGTATCTGTTTCTTCTGCTTCCACTGCAGAACACTACGGTCTGCTGACGACCGCGCCACTGGAGGCAGATGTCCTCATCTGGAGGGGCCCATTTATTCCACTCAGGTAATGCCACTATAACGCCACAAACTGCGCATGTGACCACAACCTAGGTTTCCCAACTGCCTGGGTCCAGCGGGGAGTTCCCCACCCACAGCCCCGATCTCCGACCCTAGAGAAATTTTCCTCTCTCCAACTCCACCCCAACAGCACAGCTTTTGCTCTTGCAGGTTCATGGCATCGCTTGACTCGCTCTCCCTCATCCTTGCAGTTCAAAACAGCTGCTTCCTATTGTTGTGGTATTTTGAGAAACACACAATGGCAATTACATAGATTTTTAAAAGAGCAATTACATGGAGGATTAAAAAATAAGCAGTCTGTGAATTCTAAGCCATCACATCTTTATTCCATTCCTTTTCTAAGGAGTTGATAGCAGCGTACGTGGTTTTCCCTCCAATCTTGCCCTCTTTCACCCCCATTTTATCAGAGAGGTTGGTTAGGTGACTGATCCGAGGCCACCCAGGGTTTTCTATCCAAGCAAGGACTCAAATCTGGTTTACCCCAATCAGGGACCAAGGCACTATCTGCTGCAGCAACAGATAGGTGCAAATTTAATAAACTGTGATCTGGGAGATTATAACAAAAACGGACTGTGGTGTGAAAGGTGTTTATACAAAAGATTTGGGAGATGCCCGGTCCTAGTCTCACCTCCAGAGAGAAAGGGAACGCACTGGGACATTTCCCTATAAGTTAAACGGCCAGTTTGCTCCACCTACAATTAGCTAAAACTGGAGAAGCCAACAGAAGGAGGCAGATAGGTAACCTTTAAGAAATTACACAGAAAGAGCACTATCACAAGAGTCAACAGAACATCAAAAATCCACTTATGTTAAATAAAACTAAGAATCAAACAATTTCTAACAACGTATCAGTGGTCCATAAAAGATACCTAGCGAATCTGATTTTGCTTTCAGGGATCCATTGCCAATTGCCTAAAAAGTACAACAGCTAGATTTGACGCCAGTGGCACCTTAATAGAGACCAACGAGACTTTCCAGGGTACGTGTTTCCGAGAGTCAAAAATCTCCCCTTGTCAGGCTGGACTTGAATCTAGCTGTTCTACTGCAGGCTGACAAGGCCTCCCTCTGAAACTAAGCAAGAAAATAGAAATAATATGAATTGCTTACCAGCAGTTATGAAATTCTGCTGTATTTTCCAGGGTACTGCTTTTTAGCATTTATTGTGGCTGCAAGACCTGTGCCCGCAACCGTGTGTGTGCTTTAACACATCCTTTGCAAAAATGTTCACGGACCACCAATAAAGATTTCGTCAAACCTCTCGCCCCTGCCATGAGGCTGCATTAAGCAAACCCATTTTCAACCACAGCTCCTCGATCTGCAACATGGGGACAATGCTGGCCTACCTGACAGGGCTGCTGTAAGGACAAAATAACTGATGCAATATGTGCTGAACACCAAGAGCACTGTACAGATGCTGAGTACCACTACACAACCACACCAGTTCCTGCGAGGAACTGCTCAGAATATTTATAAAGAGTACAACCTGCCTCCTAGCCACCACTAAGCAGAACGGCTACAGGAATATATTCGGAGATCTTCTGGGCGTGGAAAAGCGGTCACTGGGTATGTATGTGGGGGGAGGTATTTGTGAATTTCTTGCATTGTGCAGGGGGTTGGACTAGATGACCCTGGAGGTCCCTTCCAACTTTATGATTCTATGATTCTTCCAACTATAGGCATCCTGTTGCTAGAACTCAGGTTTTGCTCAGCTGTTCTCAGAACCACTGCCTCTTTAGAAGAAGAAGAAGAGATTGGATTTATACCCCGCCCTTCACTCAGAGTCTCAGAGCGGCTTACAAACTCCTTTCCCTTCCCCTCTCCACAACAGACACCCTGTGAGGTAGGTGGGACTGAGAGAGCTCTGACTGAGAACTGCTCTTTTCAAGAACCCCTCTGACAGAACTATGGCTTGCCCAAGGTCATCCAGCAGCTGCAAGTGAAGGAGCGGGGAATCAAACCCAGTTCTCCCAGATTAGAGTCCGTGCACTTAACCACTACACCAATCTGCCGCTCTTTATTTAATGCAGACTGTACAAGAGAATGGAGCCATGGCTGAACAGCAGACCATCTGCTTGGCACGCAGAAGGTCCCCGGTATCTCCAGATAAAAGGATCTGGCAAAAGATGAGATGAAAAGACCTCTGCTTGAAACCCTGGAGAGCTGCTGTCAGTCTTGAGTGTAGACAACACTAACCTCGATGAACCAACGGTCTGATTCAGTCCAAGGCAGCTATGAATGTAGAAACCAGGGAGGTCCCAAGAGATGACTCACCTTCTGTGATATCCCAGGGAACACCTCCTAGAAACACCTTACACGAATAGATGGGATTACTGTAGTTCCGGGGTGGAAGCTGCCCACTCCACGTGCAGGTTGCATCGTTCACAGCTAGTGAGAGACGGCACAGGAAGAGAAGAGACGCTTCATTCAGGGGCCTGGGACGGCTTACAGCACAAGTTCCCGCCAAGCAATGCTCCCTCTAAGCTGCGGAGTCTTGTGAGCAAAAATTCTACTTTGTGAGCTCCTTGCATGAAAGTTGTGAGCGAGCGATTTGGCCACTGCATAAATTAGTTTGCTCTGGAGCCCCATCCTTCCTGAGCGAAGACATAAAGGTTTGAGCCGGAGCCTAAAAAATTGTGAGCTAGCTCACACTAACTCAGCTTAGAGGGAACACTGCTGCCAAGAGGTTCACCTCCCCACCCAGCAAGGCCTGCCTTTGACTCACCTGCGGCTTGCCTGTGAAGCTGAGCTTCCCTTTCGATGCTGAACGGCTCTTCTGGGGAGTCCGGCAAGCTCCAGGAAGGCCACATCGACGTTCTTGGCCACTGCTTGGCCACACTGGCCGGGCTGGAAGTGGCTGCCGGTAAAGCCGCTTGATCTTGGTTGAGGTGGGATCCTGACCCATTGAGGGAATCCCGGGTCATGCCACTAATTGGCAGGAATGGCAGAGGTGGGGATATATGGAGGCTGGACTGGAAGAGAGAGAGGGGGGGTGCCAAAAATACAGCTTGCCAGAATGAGCACACACCAGTCCCTGGCTTTAAACTTACTCAACAGGTTTAATAGGAATTCAAGCTATTTATCCAAGCGTGGACTTGCGCATTCTCTGACAGAACCCCACTGTGTCCAAAGTAGTGGAACCTTGCGGCAATTCCATAGCTTAATACACACAAGCATCAGGGAATTACAAAAGCCTGTTTCGGCACAAACGGGGATTACCAGATTACCTTCCAAACCTATGATTTAAACAAGGGTGTACAATACTCTAGCTAGCATGGTGGTGGTGGTGGGGGGATCACTGTTCTCATTTAAGGTATGCTTCTAGCCTTCATGTCTGCAGAGAAGCTTTTAAGCAGGATCGTTAAAGATCAGACTTCTACACAAGGGAAAAAGGCCCGAATTCCTTCTATTATCCCAGAACCATGCAGCCAAAATATGCTCATGAGCCACTGCCACTTCAGTCCAATGTAGGTTCCTGATAGGACCTTTAATACACTTGTCAGATCTTGGAAGCTAAGCAGGGCTGGACCAGGTTAGCACCTGGATGGGAGACCACCAAGGAAGTCCAGGGTCGTGATGCCGAGGCAGGCAATGGCAAGCCACCTCTAAACATCTCTTTCCTTGAAAACTCTACAAGGTCTCCATAAGTCAGCTGCCATTTGCCAGCAAAAAAGTTTAACAACAGTTTTAGCAGCAGCAACTCTTTCCAAAGAGAGCAGCTACTGGAATTATTGAAAGGGAGACCTAAAATCCAACAGGTGCCAGACTTTTCCATTCAGTGTGTAGTTTTATGCCTTTGGATTTTAAACTCAGGTCAGATTCACCAACTGTATTACACTGTGGGTGCGGTCAGACGGCGTG